TGTGGGATGGTTTCACCTATGAGCAAATCCCGTAACGCAAAGGTGAAGTTACAGCAGTGCTCCTATGGACTGATGACCCAGTTTCATCTACTATATTCTCTAAGTATAAAGGTTCTGAAAAGATTAGTTTCACTTTTCCCTAGATACGTTAACTAGCATAGCTAGGATATTATTTTTCTTTGGTTGTGTCAGTAGCATGTTTGATGTAAATTTTATTAAGTGGTAGTGTCTGTAACATTGCATTGTGGGTAGCAGTTTCCTGCTTGAGTTTAGCCACATCCTCAGCTGTCATATGAGCATGTTTCCCATATTTTCTGCAAGTTTTCACCTTTTTTATACTTCAAAAATGACAGCATTAGAAGAATTACTGAAAAAAATTATAAAAAACATAAAAATATTAATCACTGAAGTTCAAAGAATAATCAAAAAAGTAATTCTCATAGTTAAAGTGTTACTATCATGTGAAATAATGTGTTTAAGTAAATCAGTATAAAGAAAGAATTCCAGGGTTAAACTAAAACAGTTGAAAGGAAGATAATCTCTGTAACCAGATTCCAATATTCTAACAAATGAGGTATAACATGTCAGGATTTAACAATCTGCAATGAGTGTTAAGAACTTCAAATCTACTAGGTATTCATTAGTGAAGATTAATATCAATATCCATTACCAGAACTTTAAGAATATACTTTGAGACTGTACAGAAATGTCAAAACATAGAAACAGAAACAAACAAACAAACAAACAAAAAACCTGGCAGAGAGAGGGAAAGAGAAAGGGCAGAGGGAAAGGGAGGGAGGGAGGGGGAAGGGAGGTGAGATTGAGTATTTTCTCTTTTGGCATTCAATTTACACCTAATGTACATTTACAAAAATAACTGCTAAAAGTAACCAAAGTTATTCAAATAATCAGGAAAATGGTGATGTTCTGAGTTTTAACATGATCTCATTAAAACAAACTACAAAAATAACTCAATACAAAAAACACAAAATAATATCTAATACCCTGTAGACACACACAACCAGACATAGGAATACATGTATATATACAGATATATACCCCACTAAAATAAAGAAGTGGAATTAATATCTCCTAATCATAATTTAAAATACAAAACTACATATTTTATTAAAAAAGAAATTTTTCAAGTCTTACTATAAGGCCCAACAAATGATATAAGCTTAAAGTTATCTATCAAATCTGAAAAAAAGAAAAATTATCAAAAAAGGGAAAGTAAATGATCAAATACCAAGTTAAAATAATAAATCAAGAAAATTACTTGGCAAAACCTCATACAACTGAGGCCAATAGGAAAAGGGGAACAGGTACTAGAGAAAAGGTTAGTTCAAGAAGAATTAACCTAGAAGGTAACACCCACGCACAGGAAATCAATATGAGTCAACTCCCTGTATAGCTATCCTTATCTCAACCAGCAAAAACCCTTGTTCCTTCCTATTATTGCTTATACTCTCTCTACAACAAAATTAGAAATAAGGGCAAAATAGTTTCTGCTGGGTATTGGGGGGGGAGAGGGAGGGGGCGGAGTGGGTGTAAGGGAGGGGGTGGGGGCAGGGGGGAGAAATGAACCAAGCCTTGTATGCACATATGAATAATAAAAGAAAAAGGAAAAAGAAATAATAAAGTTACACTTCAAAAAAAAAAAATACTTGGCAAAACCTCATACATGGAATATTTTAAACTAAACTGGACATCTACAATTTGTAAAATTCCTACATCAAACCAACTGCTCCTATTGTTTAAAAAGAATATTGTTTAAAAAGAATATTGTTAAAAGAATAGAAAAGCAATGCTTTCTTTAAAAAGCACAGAAAGGGGCACAGTATTGATAAACTAAAACTACTATTATTAAAATAGAATCATTAGTTGGGAACACAAAAACTAATTCAAAAGGTAACAATGAAGACAGATGTTGCATTTAAAACATACTGTTATATCCTAAAACATACTGTCTTTTGATATTTTTAAAACTTCAAACATTTTGACAAATTTACTAAACATAAAGCGTAAGGGAGATACTAGTTTCATGATTGTTTTAAATTGATTTCAAATACAAAGGTGTAATTAAAATGCCATTTCTGTAGCATTAAAGTGCAGGATATATGTACTAAATAGCCCTAAATTTGTTTACTTCAACACAGTAAATACATTCCCTCAAAAGGATGAAGTTTTAATGGTCTTTAAAAAAAAAATCTATGTTACAAAACACACGCTTATAAGCATAGTGTAAATCTGTAATTGAGGGCTTTATTTGCAATGACTTTACCAAATCAGGCTTTCTCCATCACATGCAGTGCTAGCCATTTTTGATGAAACACACTTTCAGTATCAAATGTATACCAGTCATCATTATTGTTTTAAAATTTCTATCACAAAATGGTATTTGCTTCAAATAGGACATATTTTCAATTGGGGGGGTTACATGTGGTTAATGAACATATGAATTTTAAAACACAAGATTTCACTGTCTTTCTTCTGCTAGAATTTGATGGGCCTTATATAAGACAGAAAAGGCATGTTCAATAGTTCCTATTAAACTCTTAAGAGTAAAGATCCTATGCCAGTGATAACATGCAGGAAGGTTACCCGCAAAAAGACAATAAGCAGTTAAAAGACAAATTGGATGTTAAAAATCATTCAAATTCATTTCAGGTTAATTTGGAGAACCAAAGTGTCTATACTTAAAAAAGAAAAAACCAACTTCCAAGGAAGGGAATATTTGGCAAATAGTTAGGTTTGTAAGACATGTCTTGAGAATCCTGACACAAAAACTACAAAACCTTTCTAAAGGAAGAAAAGCATTTGCTTGCCATGCTACAGAAGCTACCTGAATTTTTTTCAAATGCCTAACTCTGCTATTGTATGTGCATATGAAGCTATTGGAAATTCCACGAATTATAGGAGACAAAATCCTCCTTTAATTTGCTTTGGATAATAGAAATAAAGATCATACTGGTCCACCTTCTTTATGAAAGAGGATAACAATAGCTTTTCTCCCCTGTGCATGAATAATTACATGTTAAGTGAAAACTTTTCAATGTAAAACTTGTTCATGTACACTGAAAAGCATGATAAATCTATATTCAAAATAAAACACCTAAATGTAGTTCTGTGTTTTTAATCACTGAAAGTTTATTGTGAAAAAGTTATGGAATTTGAATAATAAAGGACTAAAATCACTCCCATGTCCTCCAAGTATATTTTGGGAAAATTAATTTTTGGTAAAGAATTTTATGAACATGTTTTTACAGTATCTTTATCTAACTTGGGCCAAAAACAGATAATAAACTGTGCTACGGAGAATATACACAAGGATGTTTTAGTTTTAACACCTTCCTAAGTTCCCCCATTTATTCCACTGTACACCCCAAAACTCTTTTGTTATTCACAGTCTCCACCCATTCTCTCAGTCATCTATTTCACACCACTCCTGGTTACTATCACACTGGGAAGAAGTCTAACATGTAAATTCAGAGTGGCGTGGATAAATGGCAAAAAATGCCTAGAAAATTGGTCTGTTGGCTTTTATAATTTTTGCTGAAAAATACACCATCGGTCCCAACTGATGAAAACAGGAAGCTCTATTCATAAATATAAAAGTCACTGCCTATGATATATAATCATCCTAATAAGAAAATGAGTTCTATACATACATGTCCAAGGGGGCAAAAGAAGAGATAGTTTCCCAAAGATGTTTTCAATTTTCATCTGAATCAGAATTAGCAAATCGAGACGACTAACATACTCTGTCTGTGTGCATTATTCCTTACTATACACAGCATTTTGTAATTTATTTCAAAGCTTTCATTATAAACAAAAAAAAAAAATACAGCTTCTGTTAACCCACTCCACTCTGAGCTCATAAAATCTAATAGTAAATATCTAAAGTACAACGTAAGTATTTTACTTTATACATAAGATTTGGAATTAAAAGCTTTATGAAAGTTAATGTCCAAACAGACTACTTAAAGAATTATACAAAATGAATACATTTTCTGAAATCACTAAATTACAATCATAAAGAGAACTAAGATTCTCCCAACAAACTATTTTATACATCTTTGTCATTCACTTTTGGGATCTTCAATCTAATATAAATGATACTAATTACATTTGATCTTTATTATAAGAACCACCATCTAATATTGAAAATAAACTAGACAGACATGATTTAATATTTGTAAAGGAATCCCCAGACTAACACTTTCATGACAGCCAATTACATTTAAGCCCAACAAGCAGTTTGCAACCAGACCTTAAGAAAGGTAAACTTTTTTTTTTACAATGAGTTACAGATTCACAAGTTTAAAGAGACAAGAAAAAGGAAAACAGAAGGAATCCAGCCACCCTAGCAAATATGAAGCAGACCCCAGAATGTGATACAATCCAAAGATGTAAATTATTGTAAATCATCACCGTTGTTCAGAATTTCACAGTCTCTTGAGCCAATTTTGCTCATTTTTCCACAGACACAATAATGAACTAAAAGGAGGGGGAAAAAAAGAATGGAAAAGGAAAAAAAAGTGGGGAGGTGATAGAAAGGAAAGCCCTTAACTGCAGAGTTCTGCTCTACAAATGCTTAACCTTTCAGGAGTTTGGGCTCCTTCAGCATTTGTATTCTATCCAAATCCTCATGAGTCACAAAAATTAAAAAGCTATATCCTTCTGGATGCCAGGAAAGGCCTTACCACAAGTCTTTTGTCAGAGAGAGAGAGAGAGAGAAAGGGAGAGAGAGGGAGACTGGGAGAGGGAGACTGGGAGAGAGAGGGAGACTGGGAGAGAGAGAGAGGCTGGGAGAGAGAGAAGGAAGAGAATGGGCAGGGAGGGGAGAGAGAGAGCAAGGGGGGAAAGCCACAGTGGTAGGCAGTCCCACTTTACTTTGAGTACTGTGAGGTCACAAACCACATGATTCTGTCTCTCCAGTAATAGTGCTTGCAAAAAAAAAAAGAGTTTTAAAGCTTTTGCTTTTTTGGATTGTGTGAATGCTTCATTCGCCTCACAAACAACCACAGAACCACAAGTGCGGTGCAAACTTTCTCCAGGAGGACAGCAAGAAGTCTCTGGTTTTTAAATGGTTAATCTCCGCAGGTCACTACCAGCCACCGAGACCAACAGAGTCAGTGAGTGCTCTCTAACCACAGTCTATGCAGTAATAGTAGGTCCTTCAAATATTTGCTCATTCTCTTTTTGTTTTGTTTCCTTGCTTTTCACATGTTACCAGCTACATAATTTCTTGACAGAAAAAAATAAATATAAAGTCTATGTACTCCAGGCATACTGTAAAACTAAAACAAGGTTTGGGTATGGTTTGTATTTTCAGTTTAAGGCTACAAGGAGTATTTACAACAGAGGGTACAAGTTCTATCTGGAAAAAAAAGGAGGGACTATGGCATCAAACAGCCTCTTCAGCACAGTGACACCATGTCAGCAAAACTTCTTTTGGGGTAAGTGTTACCATATTTTAAAATCCTGTAAGATATAAACCTGTTAAACATAAAGTTATGATTCTTAGGTAAACTACTAGATCGTTCAGATAACGATTTATTAAAGATCACAATAATAATGCTATTTTGCTGCACTAAAAACCAAAAAATGAAATTGCTGTAAATATTTGCACTTGGCATCTGTAACTTTAACTCTCGGAGTAATTTCTTGAAATAGACAAAATTAAGTGATCTCACATTAATCAAAATGTTTTCCAGAGTAACAGAAATGAGGATGCTAAAACAGTAAAAGTTTAATATTCTCAATAACTCTCAGTAGAATAAAATTAGATGCTAAATTAATCAAAGAATTATAAATTATTGACTCGGCAGCTCCCAATATTTGAGCAAACTTCAAAAAGGAAGCAATTTTGCAAAATAACAGACCACAAAATTATCGTAACATTATGGTCTACCATGTACGACTCAGAAATTAACCTGGAAGAGAGTTAACATTTTAACCAGCTCAACTAAAAGAAATCTACTTCTCATTTTAAATTGTATAAGATAGCTACATTTTTCTAAACAACTTAATATAACTGAAGCATACATTTAACTACAATAAAATTATTTCACGTATATCATAGATATATTTAAAAGATCTTCAGAGTTGCCCAAGATATTTAAAAGTTTTAAAGTATTTTCAAACTGACATGCAACTGTACTTTCCTAACTAATCTTAATGTTACATCTACACACTGTTACAACTTGTAGAACTTGTTATACAGACAGCAAACACTGATACATCGAAGATTCCTTTAATCACATTTTTGGACCTACCAAAATTAATACTGTTTTTAGTCTCATGAAAAATAAAGCTCCAGAAAGATACCCTGCATGATTTAAAAGAGCAACCTGTTAAATCATGCTGGATTTTAATAAAACAAAACAGGCATAATACAGTAGCTTAATATGTAATTTCAAGTCAGTGTTGATACAGGCATGTAAATGACTTCAACCTTCATCAGCTGACCTGGCATTATAGCAAAATATCTAAACACTTACAAGATTCTCCTTACGATGTCCAACATGCTCCCACTATAAGGCAGTTTTTATTTTTTTCTTTTTTCCATACCTACATTAACTACATTTGCATTGTAATTTTCAACTAACGATTGGAGTTTGCTTTACTCCTCCTCCTTCACACATTTTTACTGATTACTACCAAAGGATCAGTCTTAGTCTAGGTCAAATAGAAATAATTAAACATGAAAAAGGGAAAAAAGGATTCTCTTAAAAGATAAGGAAAAGTACTTCGTATTTTACAAAAAAAAAAAAAACCCTGCAAAATTGCTTTAATGATTCCCTCAATAGCTATAAATGGACCCTTCATTTACAATATACACAACAGATTAATCACTAATTATTAAAGTTTATAATGGTGGGTATCAAACATTACTCTAAAATTTTCTATATTTAGGAAGCATAAAATAACTAATATAACCCAGATTATAATTACAGCTCATACTGGAGGACTTTTGCTATTACAATCTAAGAGATGAGGAAAAAAATGGTTAAAATGCCTATGAAAGGATTAGTAGAAAAACGCCTATCAAGCAGTTAAAGAGAGCTTCAGTATTAGAAGTAAAGGTGTCACAAAGAATATGCTAAAAACTATCACGAAGAATACACTGAAATGCTCCTTATTCTATCTTATGAGGGGGTCTTATATGTCTGTGACATTCTTACTAACTATTCTATATTAAAATTTCTAAAACCTGACCAAGTTTCTAGGTAACACATAAAAGTAAATGAAAACATCATGCATTGCATGTAATATTTTAACACTGTAACCAATTCTTCCTTCTCTGTAAACTTTACCTCCCCCCATCCTTCTCCCCCCGCCCAAAATAGTACCTTAGAGTCTAGATAGAGAACTTAACATGAACCCACCATACCAGACTAATTACAGGTGAGTAGTGGACGTTCAGTACAGGTTATCATCACACTGAATAATCAATATGAAGTCCAAACCTCAGTTCAGGCTTTAATGAAATGCCACCACCATATCCACCTAATGAAATGTACTAAGTATATGTCCCAATTTTGTAAAACAGCTAAAAAGGAAAGTTAGGTGAGGAACAAAGCATATGTTGACTATTTGTCTCAACTAAACTATAATTAAAAGTGTGTGTGTGTGTGTGTGTGTGTGTGTGTGTGAGAGAGAGAGAGAGAGAGAGAGAGAGAGAGAGAGAGAGAGAGATGTCTTGGTGCCCTTGATCTCTTAGCATACTTTAAATTAATCAAAAATTTCAATCTGCACTATTCAGATCTGTTTATTATTTATTAAAAATAAAGCCTGTTGAAAACAGTAGATTGACCCTTCAAGTATCTTACAATTAAGGATTTATTTATGAAAACATATCAGCTGACTGAGTAAATTACTACATAAAATTTTTGTAACCAACCAAAATAACTGATAAAACATGATGTGTGAAGAGTGATTTCCAAAACAATAGTTGTGGTCTATCTCAACAATAATTTTATAGTTTAAAGATTCAGCAGCTATAAAGTTTTATAATCTTACAACATTACTAAAACAACATAATCCAGAGAGAATGAAAGGTCAAGAATAAACTATGGGTGACCACTCTAAGATATAGTAAAAGCTAAAAATATCAATGCAATTCCTAAAGAATTATATTATTATTTTATATAGTGAATAGTTCTAATTTTACATGAGAAACTGCTAAAGATTTCACTTCCAAATTTTAAAAGTGTTTTGACGTATAAATTTAAAAGAAATTATAGGAAAAGATCTTGTTAGTTTGTGTGAACCTCTAAAGGCATGAAATATACATTATGATATATTTTAGTTATTTTAATGAAAAAAATTAATCTGTTCAATTACACCCTTCAAACTAATCACTGATAGTTTGACTTGTTTAAATCAGTCATGCTAAAGTTAAATTCAGTAAGATAGAAATGTTCCAGTTTGTTAAAAGAACACTGAAATATTTGATGGTTAAATAAACTGCAGAGGGGGGAGCTAACTCGTTGAAGGCACTAAGATTTTATCAAACACACAGAATTAATCTTTATTGAATAGAACCATTCACAAATCAAATCTCACTGTACTTCAATACTTTCAAGCAGCGCTAATCAATTATAAACCTTTTCTAGTGCTTCAAAACTCATGTGCTTTCAATTTTACACACTGGTGGTCCTCAAGTACTATACTGGGGCTGAGTTAAGACATTCTGTATCACAACTTTTTTTTCAACAAATATTCATCTAGAGGGCTTTTTTTCCTCTCAAGAGCTGCTCACATGAAAACTGTGGTAATATTTTTATACTGTACTTCTTTGTTAAAGCAAAAGGTTAGGGGTTACCTAAATACCTCAACTATATATATATATATGTATATATATATATATAAAGGAAAAGGTAAGTATTCATATTTTTTAAAAATCCAGAGGGACTGGATTATTTATTTTTGCATTTCCTATGATTAATGATGCACGCATGCACACTTGAAAACTGGTGGCAAAACAGGGTAACATCTCAAATTGCTCTCCAAAGCACACAAATGCCAACCTTCAAACATGTTCTAAGGATAATAGGAAATGGCAATTCTAAGTCAACACTAAAGCCATGCAAAAGGTGATCATAAGACTGTAAATGCTATTACCAAAAGTCATTTAGACATTCTTATATGAAGGGTTTATCAAAACAGTCAACCTCTACAGTGTCTCTTTAAAAGTATTGTACATGGAGCCAAATAGACAAATACCTTCAATCCAATGTGAAGAGTCCTTCCCTGAAAAAACTAAAATTATGATTGTGATAATGTGTAATTACTTTTTCTACTCATTGACCAGGCCAGACTTACTACTAAACAGGTACTAGCTGCTAATTTAGACAGAAGCTTCCTAATAGGTTACCTTAATGCATTATTTTTTTCACCTATACCAGTAAACTCTATACAACTTCCACACGATTTAAAAAAAAAAAACTCTCTAAATTCCCATGTTAAAGATAACAACAAACCCTAATGCTTAATGTTTTCCAAATCGTAAATTATTCTAATTATCTCAAGTATATAGAAAAATCTTCCATCAAATCTGAAATGTTTAATATTTTAAAACAAATCTTTACAAAAGGAAATCTCATGATATTATACAACTTAATATAATCTCTGGCTATTTTGAAAAGATTACGGCATTCACTGAATATGTGTTTTGATTAATGTGTTACAATTCAAAAAATGAGGGAACTCTATACCTTTCAAAGGAGGTTTTCTTACAACTTTAAGCAGTTAACCACAAGCTTTTGTCCATTCAAAAGAAAATGCACATAAAACAGACCATATATTCCCACATAACTGTTTAAGATCTATATAGCAACTAAGATTAAATGTTCCTTTATTATACTGTATACAATATCTTCACTTTATGTAGAATTCTTAGAAATTTCCTTCCCCTTACAGTACCATTAAGGATTCAAGGTCTGGAAGCACTGTTGAATGGATGTAAGAAACACCCTATAAAACATTCTAAGTTCCTGTTGTTACTGTTCAGCAGGAGTTAATTCGAAAGCCTATTTTTTTCATAAACACACTCTTCTACTAATAAGTAGAAACCATGTCATTTACCACAATGCATTATCCCCAAATAAGGTGAACTATGGAATTTAAAGGGTCCTTTAAAAGCTAGTTGCTACATAAGTATTTAATATTTACAGTGAAAAAAAGTGTTATTTATATGTTTCTTATAAGTATTCTATACAGTTATGAATAATCAAACATCCAATATATACAGGCTAGCCAGAGCTCAGTGATGGAGCGCTTGCTTCACATGTATACGGCCTGAGTTCAATTACCAGCATCACACACACAAAAAACTGATACATATTCAAGATGAAAAAAATCATGCCAAGCGTGATTCTGGCTCTAAATAAAAAACGATAAATGTTCACCTTGATTAAATGTTTTTGTCTTTTAAATCTACTTCCCAAAAGAA